TTACTGTTGTTCAAATACTTGATGACTTAAAGTATTTCATAACATAATTTTTAACAGCAAAAAAAAAAAAAAAAAAAAAAAAAAAATCAATTTTAAAGCCACTTTAAAATCTGGAATCAATTCCATCTACATTATATTTGTTTATGTATGTATGTTTTTTTTTTTCATTCATTAATTTTCCTTTGGCTTGGTCTCTTATTTATCAGGGCTCGCCACAGCGGAACGAACTGCCAACTATTACAGCATATGTTTTATACAGCAGATGCCCTTCCAGCCATGACCCAGTACTGGAAAATCCCATATATTCTTGTATTCCCACTCGTACACTACAGCCAAGTTAGTTCAGACAATTCACTAATGTAAGTCTTTGACTTTAAGCAACTGTTTGGTTGACTAAATATAAATTTACCTTTGTTTACCTTGTGTGGCCGAACAACATAAGCTTTTTTATATAAACTGAAATAATATCAGGAAGAATATCTTAAAATCAGAGTAAATCAACAAAGTTCTTCTTGACACACTGAATGATTCATTTAATTGAGTTGTTTGAAAAACTGATTCATTTACAAAGGTCTTTCTGATTGGACAACTACATCATTGTCTTATATGTTTGGGATTCATTCATAAACATTGTATGGAGATGTACAGTGATTGAGATTTTTGGAAGCATTTTCGAGAACATGGTGCAACATCTGGACAACAGTGATTCTAAAAACGCATCACATAATTTTTGTTCTAATTTTAGGGATAATAATAGTTCATTTTAAAAACAGGGAAACCTAGAATCTGCTGTAATTTAAATATCAATGACGAAACTTGCTTAAGTAAAAGTTAGCAAGCCCTGTTAACTGTGTTTTACAGTGAATATCGAACAGCTTAAGTTACACTCACGTCAAGCCTTAACTGTCCTGAAATGCAGTTATGCATGGCTGGTACAGTATAAATGTATGATAATAAACAACTAAATACATACCTTCTATTCTCTTCTTTTTAAAGAATGCAAAAGTTGCTTCTGAACTGCTCTTATAGACATTTTGAAAATAGCGCAAAATTACACATTAAACTGTATTGCACTTGTGCGTGGCACCTTATTACAATTCTTCTGATTGGTCATTTATTGTTGTTTATAAGTCATAAATTACCATAAATAGAGAATTTTTATATTTAATTTGCATAATGAACTTTACATTACACATAATGTTGTTAATCTAAAAGGGATGCTTTTTTTGATTTTTTTCCTTAAGGTGGTTGCCACCCCCCCACCTTCACCCTCAATTCAAGTACTGCTTAAAGCATATGTCTTTGGACAATGGGAGAAACCCGAGCACCAGGAGGAAACCCATGCGAACATGGGAAGAACATAAAAATTGGTCCAGCCAGGACTCAAACCAGCGACCTTCTTGCTGTCCTATTTTGTTTTTGAATAAAGAAATGTATCTTTGATAAAATCTTAATCTTAATTAAACGTTTGATCAATGGTGTAAATAAATATTTATTTTACTGTATGTCATGTAAATCATTTTAATTAAGTAAATTATGTAAATGATACTTTAAACTGATCAAAAGTAGCAGTGAAGATACATGTTGTACTTTATTTAAAGAACAACTGTTCCTATTTTCCAATATAATGTTTCTAAAGTACAGTACGACTATATCTCTAAAATATTCAGTCACATACATGTGAAACAGAAGTGAAACATTGTTGTAGAACATTTCAATGTAAAACTCGTGATCAATGTGAGCAAATGTGGACATGTAAAAAATTTGATCAGAGGTGCTTCAATTAGAAATGCTTCACATTTGTATTTCAAATGATTTTAAGATGTGAAGCTCAGGTGCTTTTTCTGTAATTTTTCATTTAGCAGCTCTCAGCATGTCTGTACATTTTTACAAAAAATAAATAAACAAAAAAGCTAGCAATTTAAAATGTAAACATAGCTTTCTTCAGTTTTTTTATAATGAGTTGATTTTTCACACTAAGTACTTTTCAGCACAAGCAAACATACTCAATGACCCACAACTACAATTATCACCACATGGCACAAAACTCAAAGGGAACAACAGACACAACAACACCAGAGTGAAATATGCAGTAAAACAGAAAACAATGAGTCTCCAATTAGCATGATTTATTCATGCTGCTGTGCTAACTGGTCACAAGTGACATCTCGACAACTCCTGGGTGATGTGGTGCGGTGATATAACAAAATTAAAAAGCCACCTTGTGTGAAAATGTTGCCTGGCCTTAACATAAAATAAACACTTGTACTGTAATAATCAAGTAAGCTAGGTTTATCACTCTCAATACACTCACTTTCTCTTTCTTAGATGTCACTCCCCAGAGTGTCTTTTGGATGAGGTTGTAAACCGAGGTCCTAACTATCTGTGGTCATTAAAAATCACATGGCACTTCTCGAAAAGTAGGGGTGTAACCCTGGAGTCCTGGCCCAATTCCCTCCATTGGACCCTTAACCATCATGGCCTCCCAATCATCCTTATCCACCAAATTGACTCTATCACTGTCTGTCCACTCCACCAATAGCTTGTGTATGTTGAGCAGTAGTGGAAAGAGTAGTGAAAAATCATACTCAATTAAAACTACTGTTACTTACCCAAAAATTTAGTAAGAGTAAAAGTATCTGTTGTAAATATTACTTAAAATATGAGTAAATCATAACCCTTTTAAAAATACTTAAGTGTACTAAGTACTGTTGCTGTATAGTATTACTCTTTATAGTACTACGCTGTGAACTGCTGATGCTTTTACATGCAATTTGTGCAGGCATGTGTAAACGTAACATTCTGTAGTGGATTAAGTTATTGTTTAAGGCCATTTAGCCATGTTTTTTAGTCATCATACAATAAACATCATCTTCTTATCAGTGTCCAAACAGGCAACAGTCATTTGGACAATTTCTTGGACAATTTTAATGCTTCCAAATATTTTGCTGCATTTATAAAGCGCCCATGTCTTGAGGTTGTTCAAATGCTATTTACTTTCTGTTTGATTGTATGGGAATCACAGGACCGACTTTTTTTTAACTTAGCCAATCCCCAAAGACAAGAAAGAAATAGACTGCAGATTGAAGGAAAATAATGGAGTAAAAGTACTGATACAGCACTAAAATGTACTCAAAGGAAAGTAAAAGTGCACATTTATAAAACTATTCAGTAAATTACAATTCCTGAGGAAAAACCTCCCAATTACAGTAATTTGAGTATTTGTAATTTGTTACTTTACACCACTAGTGGTGAGCACACTTGCGCCATTGCCCATGTATGGCCATACACAATAATTGCACTATATAAATACACACTGACATGTGATGTCATGTACCTCACTCAGACATTTGTTATGACTTCGTTGGCTGTAATATACCCAAAACATGGCTTGGTGTAAAAACTTGTCAATGGCAGGGAAGCAATTTTTTAATCTCATCAATGTCATCTTATTTATCTTATCAATGTCAAGGAAAGAGTTAAAGAAAATTGCACTGATGTAAGCTACATTTTGAATTTGCAGGGTACAAAGTAGAATAGTTTTCACAGGATAATATTCACTACTCTTGAAGATTACTTGAAATACCTTTATTTGCACTACTTTGATGGCAAGTAATGGTTCTTTTACACAGTGTGATTTTTCCACACTGATGTATTAATCAAGGTAAAGTTACCATTTTAGGTGTTAACATTTAAAGATTTTTGGAGTATGGTCCAATTTTGCTTCTTGTTCAAACTACTTATTTATGTATACATTTGTGGTGACCAAGGCAGGGCTGAGAGTCAAGAGGGCATGGCGTGAGTGAGATAATCAGGGGCACCTGGGCGCGTCACCTGCCACGAGTCTCACGAGGAGAAAAGACGCCAGGAGAAAAGGAGAAAGGCGAAAAGACGCCAGAGCTGGGACACAGAGGACCAGGCCCGGACATATTGTTTTACTTTTGCTTTCAGTTTTCCATCAGTTTGTTTTATTTTCTTCATTTAAACTTGTTAAAAGTTTGTTGACTATCTGCCACTTTCTTTTCTGGCGGTCAGGTGGCCATAAACTTCATTACAAAATTATTTTTATTATATTTTAATTATTAATTATATAAATATTATATAAATTATTATTTAAATCAGCTAAACAACACAATTCTTAAGAATTTTTGGGGACAACTTAATTGTTTTATGTTCAATCCACTTAAATTTCTAAAAACGGTTTACTTAACCTTATTGATTTGAGTTGGAGGAGTGGCACGATGGCTCAGGGGTTAGCACTGTCGCCTAACAGCAAGAAGGTTTCTGGATCGAGTCCCAACTGGTCAAGCTGGCATTTTTATGTGGAGTTTGTATGAACAGTTCTCCCAGTGTGTCTCCCAGTTTATGTGGAGTTTGCATGGAGTTCTCCCAGTGTTCTCCCAAAATGCACTATAAATTAATTGCAAACAAATTTGGGGGGCGACGCAGGGGCGCAGTAGGTAGTGCTGTCTCCTCACAGCAAGATTGTCGCTGGTTCGAGCCTCGGCTGGGTCAGTTGGCGTTTCTGTGTGGAGTTTGCATGTTCTCCTTGCGTTTGTGTGGGTTTCCTCCGGGTGCTCTATTTTCCCCCATAGTCCAAAGACATGCGGTACAGGTGAATTGGGTAGGCTAAATTGTCCGTAGTGTATGAATGTGAATGAGTGTGTATGGATGTTTCCCAGAAATGGGTTGCAGCTGGAAGGGCATCTTCTGTGTAAAAACATATGCTGGACAAATTGGCGGTTCATTCCGCTGTGGCGACCCCGGATTAATAAATGCAAATATTGATTAAATGACAGTACTATAAGTGTAATTACAAAGTAATTGAATCACTATATTGTATCGCACATGGTAGCTAAGCCTACCAACAGAAATATTAAATGTGTCCCAAAATTTGAACACTAACATGACAGAACGGCAAGCAACTGAATTTGACATGCAACATCCTACTTAACGGCTGAAGACTTGCATAACCAAAATAAAAAAAAAGAAGCTCTTACCGAAAACCTTGAGAAACAGTTCATGCTCGACTTCTCCTGCCTTGTTAGAGGCCCTGCAGGTGTAGGATCCCCCGTCGTCCTGCTGAATGTTTCGAACCGTAAGCGTTGTACCTCGAGCTCTCATTACATACCGCTCCGATTCCTGAAGCTGCACTCCCTTCCTGACAAAGCACACAAACACAACACACGTCAGGTAAACAAAGCCTAAATTCACTGAGCTGTTATTCATGATGCAAGTAAAAAAATAAAAAATAAACTCTCTCAGGCCAGCCAATCAAAAAATATTATGCATTATGCAGAAGTCTATACAAAGGAAAGCCAGGTGATTCATGGGTTATTCATCACAGATGGAGATTTGAGAATATTCTGTTATATTCAATATATGGAGCGTATAGGTATGCTGTCGCGGTGGAGAGCGAATAATGAAATATTTTTTGGGGGAAAGATTACAGCACAGCTTCAGACTGCCATAATGTTAGAGAGGAATGTGCGGAAATGAAATCTATTTAAAGGAGAGAGACCTGTGTGGCTACAGGAAATGGGGAGAAGGGAATCAAATCACGCTCTCTCTGGCTCAGTCAATATAGAGACACAAACAGACGGAGGCTGGATTCCGCTAGTTGCTGACAACAGGATTCTTGAAACTGAGCAGATGTTTTTTTTTCAGCTAGAGGACATTACAAAACACTAATTGTAGTAACACTAATTTGCACATCCATCCATCTTTCTATCCATCCATCCATTCGTCTGTCTGTCTGTCTGTCTGTCTATACTGTGAAAAAATAATAATAAATAACAGTTTCTGTATTTTGTGATTCGAAGGTGTTTTCTGTTTAGGATTTAGTGAAGTATGTGTAATCTAAATTTACTAATTTTGTGACAGATTTTTCCAAAAATTAAGGATTAAAGTTTGTGTGTGTTTGTCGTAAAAATACACAAATTCTATTCTAATAAAATATATTTCAACTGGAAAACTAAATTTTTTGGGTAAGTGAATGCTTTATTGTTCACAAAACTTGGCATATATATATGCATCATATTTTAAGATATTTAGATCATTGACTCTATATGGCCCTTATGGACTTTCACCTGATTCTGATCTTCAAATTCTGTGCTGTATGTAGATTTATCAAAGTTACAACCAGTATTGGTGAAAGCTACTTTAGAAAGTAATGCATTATAATAATGAGCTACTCCCCAAAAAAGTAACTAGTTGCATTACTTAGTTCCCCTTCGGGGGGAACTCCAGCACTATAAGTGGATTGATTTACTAATCCACGTATGGGAGGATTCGGTTCAGAAGCCGCTCGTCTGAAGAGTATTGAACGGGCCAATTAAGAATGAATTGGCAGCGCAAGCCTGCGCAGGTGTGCAGCATATGCAATCAACTGAGTATATAAGCACACCTGGCGCCAGCAGACGCTATCCTTTTCGCTTCAGAGATTTTTCTGAACGAGCTTCATGAGGGTTCCTCCTGCTGTCTACAGCCACTTCGAGCGAACGAGTGTCTCCCGGTCCAGAGCGAGTCCACGCAGCGGCAGACGGTCTAGCTGGGTTTCTCCCTTGCCTGGCGTCCCTTTGGGTCCGGTCCTCCGAGAGCGGTGCGTATTGCTGCAAAGCATTCTAAAAGAGCAACACTTTCAGGATGGCGCTCCGACTGTGCGTATCTGGTTGAGGGGGTTTCCTGGCTCCGGATGATGGACACGATCACTGCATTACATGTTTGAGGGTCCAGCATGTTAATGTGGTGCTCTGGGGCGGTTCATGTCGTCACTGCGATGCCATGACCGTTGCGCAGTTGAGATCGCGGTTAGCTTTCGTAAGAGAGCGAGCCACCCCAGTCGCCCCCTGCTCTGCAGCGGGCGCTCGGGCAGATCTGAGGGCTCCAGCGAGAGATAATCCGCCGCCCAAGGGCTCGCGGACCTCTCGCTCCTTCTGGGAGTGATCCGTCTAATCAGATGGTAGCTCTCACGCTCGCTGACACCGGAGATCAGATGTCCTCCGCGGCATCGGAGGGTGGGCTTTCATTGTCCGACGATGATCCGGACCCGCTCGCCCCCTCTGGGCAAGCGAGCTCTGTCAAAACGGATCCTGAAGCGGACATGTTGGCCGTGCTTTCTCGGGCTGCTTCGGCCGTCGGGTTGGAGATGGTTTATCCCCCAGCCCCGCGGCCGGACCGACTAGATGGGTGTTACGTAGAGGATCAAAAGGCGAAGCCTTCGAAGCCTCTCGTCCCCTTCTTCCCGGAAGTGCACAGTAGGCTCACGCAGTCCTGGAGGGCACCTTTCTCTGCCCGCGCTGCGTCCGCCTCCGCCCTCACCACCCTGGATGGTGGAGCTGCCAGGGGGTATGAGGCGATCCCGCAGGTGGAGCGCGCCATTGCGGTCAATCTTTGTCTGCGTGACGCCCCCGCTTTGCACGGTCCGCCCCGTCTCCCGTCCAAAGCCTGTAGGTTATCTGCCTCCCTCGGAGCTAGAGCTTACAAGGCTGCGGGCCAGGCAGCTTCCGCCTTGCACGCGATGGCCACCTACCAGCGCTACCAAGCGCAGGCGCTGGCTGAGCTGCACGAGGGTGGGTCTAACCCAGGCTTGTTACACGAGCTGCGCACGGTGACCGACTATGCTCTCCGGACCAGTAAGTCCGCCGTGTGCGCACTGGGAAGGACGATGTCCACACTTGTGGTTCAGGAACCCCACCTCTGGCTAACCCTGGCAGATATGCGCGATGTTGACAAAGTTCGCTTTCTTGACGCGCCCATATCCCAGGCTGGCCTGTTCGGCGACACCGTTGGTGAATTCACCCAGGAGTTCAAGGCGGTGAAGGAGCAGTCGGATGCGATGGGCAAAGTCATCTATCGGCGGGGCCGTAAGCCCGCTCCATCCCCGGCCGAGCCATCCACCTCCGCTGCTCCCCGCCGAGGGCGCCCGCTTCGCCGGAGGCGGAGGCGGGGGCGAGGAGCAGTGGAGGTGGATGGCTCGGCAGCGGAGGTTTCGAGCATGGCGAAAGCCGGTAGTCCTTCCTGCTCAGGGTGCCGCTAAGTCCGGTAAACGGACCGCGAAGCGTCCCTGAGACAGGCCATCCGGAGTAAAGGAAACTTGCTCTTTCCCCGCTGGAGGGCGGGGCCCATATTCCAATGGTACTTTTCAGTGCCACCAAAGTTTCGATCAAAGAGCATTTTTCTCCCTTCCCCGGATGTGACAGCTCAAGCCCTGCCAGTCTGGGACGCGCTGCCTCTCAGCTCGCAGGGTTTGCATGCTCCGCCAGCGGCTCTCGGGCGCTGGGGGGACGGTCTCCCTTCTCCCAGCCCCCAAGCCCCCTCTCAGGAGTCAGGGTGCGGAGCCAGAGCGAATCACTCTCCTCCAGCTCTTCTGCGGGACCCTCGCGCTCCCCTGATCAGCACACCCGCTCCGCGCTGCCCCTCCGCGGGTACGTCAACGATTGCTGCGATGACGTCATTAGCGAGGGCTCTGCCTGCCTGGTTAGCGCGGGCCAGCCCCTCGCGGTGGCACATATGCACGATCAGACTCGGCTACGAACTACAGTTCTCCAAACGGCCTCCCAGGTTCACGGGCGTGTATTTCACCAGAGTCAATCCCCTGTCCGCCCCTGTCTTGCGAGAGGAGATTGCTGCACTCCTGGCGAAGGGTGCAATCGAGCCGGTACCTCCAGCCGAGATGGAGAGCGGGTTTTACTGCCCGTACTTCATCGTACCCAAAAAGAGCGGTGGGTCACGGCCAATCCTAGATCTGCGCATTTTGAATCGCTGCCTTCACAAGCTGTCGTTCAGAATGCTTACGCAGAGGCGCATAGACCTGAAGGACGCGTATTTTCATGTCTCCATTCTTCCACGCCACCGTCAGTTTCTGCGGTTTGCGTTCGAAGGTCGAGCATGGCAGTACAAGGTCCTCCCCTTCGGGCTCTCTCTGTTTCCGCGGGTCTTCACCAAACTCGCGGAGGGTGCCTTAGCGCCTTTGCGGCTTGCGGGCATCCGCGTACTCGATTATCTCGACGACTGGCTGATTTTAGCCCACTCTCGGGAGCAATTGACTGCGCACAGAGACGAGGTGCTCCTGCATCTCCGCCTATTGGGGTTGCAGGTCAACTGGGAAAAGAGCAAACTCGCCCCAGTGCAGAGGATCTCTTTTCTCGGGATGGAGCTGGACTCGGTCACCATGGTAGCGCGCCTCTCCGGAGAGCGCACTCGCCTGCTGCTGAACTGTCTGAGGGAGCTCGACAGCAAGTTAGTGGTCCCACTGAAATATTTTCAGAGGCTTCTGGGGCATATGGCTTCCGCTGCGGCTGTCACGCCGCTTGGATTGCTCCATATGAGACCACTTCAGCACTGGCTTCAAGATCGAGTTCCGAGATGCGCATGGCATGTGGGCACACACTCTCAGTCTCTGTTACTGCGCTGTGTCGCCGCACCCTCAGCCCCTGGAACGACCCCTCGTTCCTACAGGCCGGTGTGCCTCTGGGACAGGCGTCCAGTCATGTTGTTGTTTCGACAGATGCTTCCAGCACAGGCTGGGGAGCCGTGTGTCGCGGGCATGCAGCTGCGGGCCTGTGGGTAGGTGCCCAGCTGCATTGGCATATCAATCGCCTAGAGCTGTTGGCAGTGTTCCTTGCTCTCCGCCGTTTTTCTCCGGTGCTGGAGCAGCAACCCGTGCTGGTCAGGACGGACAGTACGGCGGCGGCGGCGTATATCAACCGTATGGGGGTATGCGCTCTCGCCGCATGTCTCAGCTCGCCCGCCGTCTGCTCCTCTGGAGTCACCCGCGGCTGAAGTCGCTGCGCGCCATTCACATCCCAGGTATGCTCAACCGTGCAGCTGATGTGCTCTCACGGCAGCAGATTCACTCTGGAGAATGGAGACTCCACTCCGAGTCTGTCCAGTTGATATGGGCGCGATTCGGGGAGCCCCAGATCGATCTGTTTGCTTCCCCCGAAAACGCTCATTGCCTCATTGTTGTTTTACTCCCTGACCGAGGGCTCTCTCGGCACGGATGCACTGGCCCACAGCTGGCCTCGGGGCGTACGCAAGTATGCGTTTCCCCCAGTGAGCCTGATCGCGCAGTTAATGTGCAAGGTCAGGGAGGACGAGGAACAGGTTCTGTTAGTTGCGCCCCCCTGGCCCAACCTGACCTGGATATCAAAGCTCTCC